TTCTCTATTATTTTTTAATGAATTTTAATGAAATAGTGTTGTTTAAAAATTTATTTTTTTACATAAATTTCTAGATACTTGTGGTAAAAATTTGTTTTATTCCTAAAAATAGGAAAAATTAAATTTTATTTAAATTAATTTAAATTATTTTATTTAAATTAATTTTAATTAATTTTCTCTATTATTTAAAATAAATAAAATGGTGTTGTTTAAAAATAAATTTAATTTTTTTACAAAAAGTTTCTGGATACTTTTGATAAAAATTTGTTTTGTGTTCCCTAATAATTCGCAAAATTAAATTTTAATTTTATTTTTATTTAAATTTAAGTTTTTGGAGACTGGTAGTGAAAATTGAATGGTTTTTGCAAAAAATGTGCAATTTATATAAAAATGTGACTCTTGGTGTTAAAATTTATAATAAAAGTGTTTAAGGTGATACAAAATCTGTGATATTGATTTAAAATTGTTTAAAATAAATTTAAGTAAGTAATAATAATGTATATATTTATACGCAATTTATATTTAAGTATTAAATACATTTTTTCAATATTTATTATATTTTATTTGCTTCGTTGAATTTTCTTTTTTAAGAAATACTTTTGCTGGAAAAGGATCAAATTAAATAAATAAATAAATTTTAAAAACAAATTTCAGTCAGTAATTTTTATAATTCATAATTTTAAAAACAACAATAATAATAATTGTAATGATAAATTTATGCAGTTTATTTTATTCAAAAATCTCAAGTTGTTAAAGAATTTTTTATATAAATAAATAACATATATCATTAATTTGTTTAATTCGTCATTCATATTAATCGAATGGTAAAAAAGTTATTAAATAATATTATAAACACGTTTTTAAAACATTTAATAAATAGAATATTGTATATAAATAGAGTAGGTGAACATTAGTGTAATTAGGGTATATTGAATTGCTGTAGGGCTTTATAATATTAGACAATATTATATATTATTTAATTATAAACAAATTTGTCTCATACATCATTTAAATTAAGCGATTGGTTTAGGAGGTATGATGAATATAAAATATAAATACGCTTACAATGATTTTTAAATTCAAGTGCAATTTTAAAGTATAGCGAGTTGCTGTAGGGCTTTATAACATTAGACAAAATTAAACACTATCCTATTCTGAATAAATTCATCTAATATTTCATTTACATCAAACAAATCGTTTAAAAGTTACAAGAGAAGATATAATACACAAATGTACTTTTAACGCATTTCAAATATCATCCCGTACTTAAGGACAAATTTAAAGCCCACCGAGTTGCTGTAGGGTTATATAATATTAGACAATATTATAAACAATTTAATTTTAAACATTTCCCCTAAATATCATATTTGCATTAGACTAACTATTTAAAACTTACAAGAGTTATAATAAATGCACAAATAAAAACTTGCCTGTAAAATTCTGTGTTGTAAGGGTCAGTACTTTTTTCGGGGCCATTTTTCAGATAATTTAGAATTTATCTATTATCTGCATATTGTTTTTAGATAATAATAATAACTGTTTGAACAATGTCAGGCAATCTAATCGCATTTTGAACGGAAACAGAATACACAATACAATTTTAAACTAAAAAGGAACATTAAGTCGAAACATGTGCAATGGGCATGATAAAATGCATCGGTGCAGAAAGAAATGCATTTTGTAATACATTTAAGTTGAATTTTCATTAAAAATATACAGAATATTATTGCTGAGTTTATTATTTATTAAACTAGTTTAATTTTAATATCTGTCGATCGATATATAAACAATAAAAAAATACTGAAAGTGCATGAGTTAAAACAGAGAATTTTTGCTAACAATAACATTTTTATTTATATTTTTTTAATTTTGTGTATTTTTTAAAATTTCATGTAACTTTATTTTATTTTTATTACAAAACTATAACTAAATTAATTTCAATGCAGTTACTGAATATTTGAGTTAATCCAGTACATTCCACCTTCTTTAATAACAATGTTATTTTAAATTTTGTGTATTTATTTAATAAATCTCTTGTAACTTTTCAGAATTTTTTTAAACGTTAATAAAATATTTGATAATTTGTACAAAAAATAGTTATTTATAATATTGTCTAAACTTACAACACCTCGGTATACTTTAAAAATATTTTTAAAATAAGCTATTGCAATGTCACCTTATGTGCACGATAAAATCAGCAAGAGTGCATTCTTTCATTAAATAGTTTTTAACTTTCAACTGAAGAGTGTAAGTAGTATATTTGAAAAATTTGTATAAAATGTAATTATTTATAATATTGTTTAATATTATAAAGCCCTACATCAACTCGGTATACTTCAAAAATATTTTTAAAATAAACGATTGCAATGTCACCTTATGTGCACGATAAAATCGGCAAGAGTGCATTTTTCATTAAATAATGTTTAACTTTCAAACTTTCTGAAGGGTGTAAGTAGTATATTTGTAAAATTTGTACAAAATGGAATTATTTATAATATTGTCTAATATTATAATGACCTATAGCAACTCTGTGTACTTTAAAATTACAATTGAAATCAGCATAAATCTATGTTGAATGGAGCTATTGATAGTGCATTTATATAACAATACAATCAATGCACTATGATTGTAACTTTTAAACGGTTGATTTGAATTCAATGAAATATTTGATAAATTTGTTTAAAATTAAATTATTTATAATACTGTCTAATATTATAAGGTCCTACAACAACTCCGTAAACTTTAAAATCGCTTGATATATATAATAATATAAGTGATTTGGTAAAGAACTCAATTGTGCATTCATTTATTATAACTCTTGTAACTTTTCAGAAATTTTTTGAACGTAAATAAAATATTTGAAACAAAAAATTATTGTTTATGATATTGTCTAAACCTACGGTATACTTTAAAAATATTTTTAAAATTTCAAAAATATTTTTAAAACAAGCTATTGCAATGTCACCTTATGTGCACGATAAAATCAGCAAGAGTGCATTTTTTCATGAAATAATTTTTAACTTTCAAACTTTTTCAAGGGTGTAAGTGGTATATTGGAAAAACGTGTACAAAATGGAATTATTTATAATATTGTCTAATATTATAATGACCTACAGCAACTCTGTATACTTTAAAATTGCAATTGAAATCAGCATAAATCTAACTTAAATGAAGATATTGATAGTGCATTTATTTAGTATATATTGATTGTAACTTTTAAACGGTTTATTTGATTTCAGTAAAATATTTGACAAGTTTGTTCAAAATTAAATTATTTATAATACTGTCTAATATTATAAAGTCCTACATCAACTCGGTGTACTTTAAAATCGCTAGATAAATATATGTGCATTTATTTATTATAACTCTTGTAACTTTTCAGAATTTTTTTGAACGTAAATGAAAATTTGATAAATTTGTGCAAAAAATAATTGTTTATGATATTGTCTCGGTATACTTTAAAAATATTTTTAAAATAACCTATTGCAATGTCACCTTATGTGCACGATAAAATCGGCAAGAGTGCATTTTTCATTAAATAATGTTTAACTTTCAAACTTTCTGAAGGGTGTAAGTAGTATATTTGAAAAATTTGTACAAAATGGAATAATTTATAATATTGTCTAATATTATAATGACCTATAGCAACTCTGCGTACTTTAAAATTACAATTGAAATCAGCATAAATCTAAGTTGAATGGAGCTATTGATAGTTCATTTATTTAGTATATATTGATTGTAACTTTTGAACGGTTTATTTGAATTCAAAATTAAATTATTTTTAATACTGTCTAATATTATAAAGTCCTACAACAACTCAGTATACTTTAAAATTGTTAGGTAAATATAGTAATATAAGTAATTTGGTAAAGAACTCATGTGTATAACTTTTGCAACTTTTCAGAAATTTTTTGAACGTAAATGAAATATTTGATAAATTTGTTCAAAACATATTTGTTTATGATATTCTCTAAACCTACTACGTTTAAAATAAACTTTTGCAATGTCACTTTATGTGCACGATAAAATCGGCAAAATTGCACTTATTTATTATATCTCTTGTAACTTTTAAACCGTTTGTCTAATTTTAGTGATGTATTTTGTGAATTTGTACAAAATTCAATTGTTCAGTTTGTTGTCTAATATTATAAAAACTCTACATCAACTCGGTATACTTAAAATCCCCGTTAAAACATATTAATAAATTCGAGAGCGTTTGATTACTTATATGAACTGCACAACTCTTGCACTTGATCTTAAACATATATGTATTTCTTTATATTATTTTGTGTAACTTTTAACCGTTTGTCTAATATGAATAAAGTATTTGGCAAATTTATACAAAAAAATTATTTAAAACATTATCTATTTTCATAAAGCCTACAGCAACTCGGTATACCCATAAATGAAATTAGAAAATGACTATCATACTTTTACAAACATAGATTCGCTGTATACGAGTATGTTTGGTGGCAAAGGACACATATTTAGTAGTTTATTGTAAATTTTGTATCTTTTAAACTATTTGAGTGAAGTATATGAAATATTCGGCAAATTTATACAAAATTAAATTGTCTATAATATTGTCTAACACCAAAACACTCTACAACAACTCGGTATACTCATAAATTGCAATAGAAAATCAAAAATATTTGTCAAGACAATATTAATGTATTATTCTCTACCAAATCTTTTGCAAGATATTTAATTTTTATCTAAATTTTTTAACCACTTTAATTATTTTTTTAATTTTAATAAAACTTCAATAAACTCTGAATTGAGATATTAATATGCAACTTGCCTATAGGCCACTTTTTCTTAATAAAAAAAATCCCTTAGTATTATTTAAAAATCCCTTAGTATTTCTTGAACATCAACATATTCCTTAAAAATTAATTTTCATCTATAATAATATTTTTTTTTTCAGGTGATCAAAGTCAAAAATAATGTTAGTCTAAGCAGGGCCGTACTGGCCACAGTGGCCCTAGTTTTGGTTCCAGGGCCGCATCTGCCGAATATAAAATCGGTGTCGGAATTGCAGATTGTACTGGGCCAATTGCCGAAGTCAACTTTGTAAGTAAAATAATTAAATAATTATATATATTATATATATATATATATGATATTTACAAAATTAAATTAAAATCGAAAGTATCACTAATGCAACAAAAGCCGACAGACAGTTTCGAAAAATCGTTTACAAAATGTCAAAAGATAAATTTTGCAATGAATAACAGGTTGCAAGAAATAAATATATGACATATATATATATATATATATATATATATATATATATATTTACACATATTTATATTTATAAATATTTTTTGATTTCAATATGCGTTTGGTGTAATAAACTTTACATTTGCATAAAATATAAAAGTACTATGCGGTTCAAGTACCTTTGATAGATGGAGAGCTGGGCGCTATTTTGCTACATATTTTTGGCAAAACAAAAAAAAATACTACAAGAAATTATATAAAAAATTATTAAATAAATTATTATATAAATAATTATATATATTATATTTTTTAAAATAAAAAAAAATGTATAAAGTCTATACTCTATTAAAAAAATCATTGTAATGTAACAAACCTAAAATTTTTTGTATGGAGTCTATTGATTTATGAGCTTGTATTTTAATTGATTTATTATAGTATGAATTTATGGAGGCTTTGAATTTTTTTATTAATAAATAATAATAAATAAATATTGAATTCAAGAGCTTGTAGATTATTAAATCAAGAATCGATTGTACATATTTATCTATACGTTTTGTAGTTTCATAAATTTATAGAGTCATAAATTGATAATTTTTTTAATTAATGGATTGAAAATTCATAGATTTATAAATTACTGCATTTATAAGTTGCAAGATATATAAGTTTACGTATTTAAAAAATATCGGATTCATAAATTAACGGATTAAAAAATATTTGGGTTCATGAATTCATGGATTTATGAATGAACGGATTAAAAAGTCTGTAGATTTATAAGTTCATACAATAATGGATTCAAAAATTTATGGATTCAAAAATTTATGGATTCATGAGTTAATAGAATTTTAAGTTCATGTATACCTCAATTATAGAAACTCCAAGTATAGAATTCATGAAATATGTATACATGATTTAAATTCATGGATTTAGAGAGTCTTGAGCATATGAAATTATGAATTTTTGGTATATTTGTTCTCTAATTAATATTCATAATATTATGAAATAATAACTAATTCACGATTAAAATAATTTAAAACATTATCTGTTATCGGAGGTCATATAATTTTTTCATATAGAGTTGTTCGACTATGTTTTTTTTCTCTGACTGAATCGTTTGCGAATACAAAGACGCTAATTGAATTAAATTTAATTTGATTTATTCAGAGATATCTAACAATGGAATCTAACAGTTCATATATATATATATATATATATATATATATATATATAAAGATTTGTACTTCTACTAGTATTATCCTATTTTATACAAAACGTTCACATCATCGTAAAAGGTAAAATAAATTAAAATAGGGCAAGTTTTAATTAAAGTATATCCTTTGTAACTTTTAAACGGTTGATTTGATTTCAGTAAAATATTTGACAAATTTGTTCAAAATTAAATTATTCATAATACTGTCTAATATTATAAAGTCCTACAACAACTCGGTATACTTTAAAATCGCATTATTATTACTCATACTGATCTGATGCAACAAGGAAAATTTTTCAGTAAGTTATTATAATTGTAATCTATCATTTAAATCTTATTAATTTGATATGTCACATAGTAAATTCTCTAAAAAAAATATTATTTATTAAATATTTAGTAATCTATCATTTAAATCCACATACTAAAAAAGTACTATTAAATTATTAATCATTGAATCTTTATATAAATTGAATATTAGCAAGGGCCAAGAAGTAAACCTTGCGGAACACCGAATTATGAAATTAATATCGTTTATAACGAAATCTGTTTGCTGAGAAAATAAAAACAAAAAACAATAAACACGATAAGAAAACTTAACATATATTCTAAATATTATTAAAAGTAAATTCTGAAATTAAAAGTCTAAAAATTCTAAATGTTATAAAAAGTAATTTGTAAATACGTTACATAATTTGTTAGAAGTACGTGCACCATATTTTTATATCAAATGAATTTTTAATTAAAATATTATATATATATATATATATATATATATATATATATATATATAGAATAAATTTCTCTATACAACTATGTCAAAATTTCTAAGCATAAAATTAATTTGGAAATTAATTAAGACTTATGTAACAGCTGTGGAAGAAAACATTAGTACATGAATTTATGAAATTGTGATTGCACTTACTGCATAAATTATAATTTATAATATATATATATATATATATATATATATATAATTATACAAAATAGTTCAGTTCATTAGTACAAACGTGTGTATTCATATATATATTATCTCAATGTCATATTTGTTCAGCGAATTCTCACCTGACATAAATTGAATTTTCCGCTCGAGATAACACAATCTACGCAAAAACATTAAATAAACGACAAACACACATTTCTAGAATTCATTCATAAGGCGCAAAATAATACAGAGAGATTGTTTTAGTTTAGAAAATTAATTTTTGGCAAAATAAATGTGGATTTATAGTCACAAGGTGGATTGTTTTTGGTTTTTGTAATTTTGGGGGATAAATCAAAATTTTTGTTCAACATTGGTTGTGTTTGTAATTTTATAATTTAATATATACTTTCAAAAATAACATATCTAAAATACAGCTTTGTAGTACTAATAATATCCTTAAAATAAATTCTTATGCAAAAGACTGCAAAACGTTGAAGCAAACTTCAAAGAAAAAGTTTGTCAGCATTTTTTTGTATTTTTTATACTTTTATATAATCTAACCTAGTTGCAAGCAACATTGCAGCCTTAAGACAAGTTGCACAAACTTTTTGGTATCTAAAAATAATCAATTTATTCAATAAAAATCCAATTTTAACTATTTTTTCCCAAACCGGTACGCCAAATCTTGCTCCAACCTAAAACGACGCGTCGTTCCAGGTTAAACGACATCCCGGCCTACCGGTTTAGGCTGGGACGGTGCAAAATTATGGTTTTAAATTAATTTTATTAGGAAAAACTAGTTGTAAGTGACAATGAATTTTAAGGCAAGTTGTATGAAGTCCCCTATATGTGTAAATAATTAACTTAGTAGAAGAAAATGAATATTTAGCTACTTAGATCCAATTTTTTTTGTGTTCTAAAATACAGTTTTTGCTTGAACAAAAAACTATTTATTTATTTATTTATTTATGAATTTTACAAGCCGTCGGTATAATATTTTAATAAGGTTTAAGTCAATATTTTATAGGTTTAACATAATTTAATTAACTAATAACTATTTTATTATTTATTTATTTATTATTTAATTTATTTACTATAAACTTATTTATATTTAGTTAATTTTAATTATTTTTAAATATAACTAGTTTGTTTGTTGCAAGTATTTTTAAAAATTTAATAAGTATTTCAATAAGCTTTACAATACTTTTACATATAATTATTTTATTTAACAAATTTTAGGTACTTTTATGATTTTTAACAAATTTAAGTGCCTTATATTATTGTTATTATTATTAATAATAATATTATAATAATCATTTTTACTATTATTATTAAGTATTTTTACAATACAAGTTTCCTTATTTTACAAATTTTTAGGTATTTAGATAAAAGAAATATTTTGTTTCACAATTTTTTAAGTGTTTTCTTTTTTTTAATTTTTTAATTATTGAACAAATTTCCAAAAAACTATTTTATGACTTCTATGAAAGTTTCTAAAACTTTTTTATATTTTTGGACTGTAACTTTAATTCTAGCCACTTTTTTGGAAATCTAGTTAAATGTGCAGAAACTAGATAAAATTTATGGAAATTTTTTGTTAATTACTGATTTTTATATATTGTATTGGAAAATACTATAAACAAATTTTATTCTGGAAAATCTGGAAGTCTTAATGTGTGTACTTTTTTACAATTTGGGCTGAAGAATTCTAGCCACTTTTTCGGAAATCTAGTTAAATGTGCAGAAACCAGATGAAATTTGTAAAAACTTTTGTAAATTACTAACTTTTGTATATTGCACTGGAAAAATACTACAAGCCCTAGAACACAAACTTATACTCCTTGAAAATACTAGAAATCTAACAATGTGTACTTTTTTACATGTTTGAGCTGTAATTCTAGTTTTAGTAAACTTTATATAAATCTAATTGAACATGCAAAAAATAGATAAAATTTACAAAAACTTTCATTATTATCATTTTTCCTAAAAACAGTATAGTTTACAAACTACAAGCTTTTTCTCAAGAATATAAATAGTGATCCATTACCATATGCAAAACTCGTATCGTCCATCTCTCGTATAAATATAAATAAATCTTCATATTTTCCTCCACCATAAATCATTCACCATTTATCAAAGTCCTTTTAGAAATAACCTCAATGCACTCAACTAAAGTTAAATATTTATTCAAACTTTTCTACGCCACTGCATCAATGTCATTTTGTACGAAAAAATGAGAAAAAATAAGAAAAAAATGCATTTGATACGAATTCAATTTTAATATTCGTCTGGATGTCCTTTGAAATGATATATGATGTGGTCAGTGATTTATTACTATTTTTGTTTCGTTGTTGGATTATTATTAGGCTGGGTACACATGGTAAAATTTGGTACAAAGTAAATTGATACAAAATCATTTATCAATTTGTGAACTAAGTTTTTTAATAACATAATTTTGGCAGTTAAAACTTTGAATTGTTTATTAAAAACTAAATCGATAATTTATTGATCAAAATTTAATTTTAGTTCAAAAGTTAAACTTTCAATCAAATTGTTTCTAAATTTTAAAGATTGCAGTATTTCCTATAGAACGACGTAGAAAAAATTGTGATTTATGAAACTTTTAGTAAATTTTATATAGTTTCTGCATATTAGGTTGTCAAATATCTCCCTTCCGCTTTTTTGCTCTTGGTTTATAATACAAAAAGGCGGAAGGGAGATATTTGACAACCTATTATTTAACTAGATTTCCAAAAATGTGGCTAGAATTGTAGTTTCAGTCCAAATTGCAAAAAATACACACAGTAAGACTTCCAGATTTTCCAGAATAGAATTAATTTGTTTTCTGGGTCTTGTAGTATTTTGCCAATACAATATAGAAAAACTAGTCATTTACAAAAAAAATAATAAATTTTATCTAGTTTAAGCTTATTTAATCAATTTTTCAAAAAATCCTCCAGAATTTTACGTAGAGCCAAGCAAAAAAGTACCATCGTTCAGACTTTCAAAGTAAAACTAGCTTTTCTCTTATAGTATTTATGAAAATACTAAAATATTTGTAGTATTTTTTTGTACAATATATATAAAATAATCTCAAATAGTAATTATAGTAAATTCAATTCACAAGTGGATCAAATTCTGAAAATATTAGCTAAAAAACAAGTAATACTTCAAAATTTTCCAGAACTTCAGTTTCTACGATAAAAATGTATGAAAAAAGTGATTATGAGAATTTTAGTAAATGTATGAATAAAGTGATGAGTATTTTAGTAAATATAGTTTTATTAAATATTAAAAAATAAATAAAATTCATAGTTTAAAAAAAATAATCCTTGGACTTGCAGAGTAAACACTACAATTTTTCTGGTTATATTTAACGAATCAATTCAATTTGACAGATTATTATTTTTTAACTAATGCAGTTGTGTTTTGCCTTACTTATTCAAAAAATTATTTAGAAGTTTCATTGTATCAAAAATTCATTTTTATCCAGTAAAGAAAAAAATAGACAAATATAAAATAGTGAATTTTGACTAACTTCTACCTAGCAAATTCTATAAAACTAAAAAAAAAAATCAATGAATATGTATGAAAAAAAAATTAAAAAAAGGGTAAATATAGTTTAGTTTTCATACTTTTTAATTAATTAAAAAAAATCACAGAAAATAAGATACAGTTTAAAAAATATATACAGTACATATTTGTTAGAATTTTAGAATAAAAACTACAATTTTTCAGTTTATATTTATCCAGTAAAGAAAAAAATAGACAAACTTAAAACAGTAAATTTTGACTATTTTGAATTTCTATATATATGAATATATTTCTAAATATTCTAATCAATAAAACTAAAAAAATCAATGACTTATTTTTCAATAAATTCTGTGTAAAAAAAATCAATTCAGATTTTTTCAAGATAAGTTTTGAGAAAGATATTATTTGTTAATCTTACAATTAGTGAAAGTTAACACAAAAAACTTATACACTTCAATATTTGAATTATTGTTTAAAATATCAAATCACGTTCTTTTTATAAAATAACAAAGAACTTTTTACGTCAAAATATTCGAACATCTCTCTATTTACACAATAGTTCATAAATTCAATTGCAAATTTATCTCTTTTTCGTATAAATGCGGTCATTTTTCATCAATTCACACAGATTGACCATTTTGTATGGAAAACGTGCAACATTTTCAATTTCCGTTTGTGAAAATTTATCAATGAAAAATAAAAATATGGAAATAGCTGGAAATGAATGCAATTGATGGATTGAAGATATTTGCAATTGGAAAGAAAAAAAAAAATATATATATATATATATATATATATATATATATATATACATATATAATAATATAATTTCAATCAATTTTTGTCTATTTTTCAGATGGGTTATGCAAATATAGCCCAAAAAGGCACAGGAATCCACCTTCGACAATTTTCAAGGGCTTTTGTCTTTGATGATGGAACTTCAAGAAATGTCTTCGTCAGTGTTGACGCCGGAATGATTGGCCAAGCTTTGAGAAGAGATGTAAGTAATTTTTTTAAATAAATTTATAATTAAATTGATAATTAAATATTAACTAATTGGGAAATGAAGTAAGCCGTCGGCCATGTGTGCTGTAAATAGGATAAAAACACCAAACGTAAACCGGTGCACAAATTGTGCGTTTGTTTATTGAATTTGTTTGTAACTTTTGAAATTTTGTTTAAAATTATATAGTGTATAATTTTGTCTAATATTACAAGTCCCTACAGCAACTCGGTATACTTCAAAATTAACATTAAAAATAGATAATTGCATATGTGAATTTTTGTAGTTGTGTAGTTTATTATATCTCTTGTAACTTTTAAATTATTTGTTTAAGACGAATGATATATTTAGGACATTTATAAAGGATTAAATTTTGAATAATTTTGTCTAATATAATAACGCCCTACAGCAACTCGGTATACTTTAAAACTGCACTTGAACTATACAAATCCCAACCAAGACAAATAATTGTTTTTGTAGTTTTTGTTATATTTTTATTTCTATTTTTTTAGATTATTGCAAACCTCCAAAAACGTTTTGGAGATCTCTACAATGACCAGAATGTCCTGATCAGTGGTACCCATACCCATGGTGCACCAGGAGGATACCTGATGGACCTGATTTTTGACATCACTACTTTGGGTTTTGTCAGGGAAACTTACGAGGCTATGACTCAGGGAATCACCCAGGTAATATATATATATATATATATATATATATATATATATATATATATCATATTATATGATTCCCTTAACAAACTTCAGAAAGATTTATCAAAATCCGAATAATAGTTTAGGAGGATTATTCTTGCATACACCATTACAGAATAATTTTATATATAAGATTCTTATATATATATATATATATATATATATATATATATAAAATTCTTCTGTAATGGTGTATGAAAAAATAATCCTCCTAAACTATTATTCGGATTTTGATTAATCTTTCTGAAGTTTGTTAAGGGATTTTTTTAGTATTTTCTGATTCATAGGAATATAGTTAGATTGTAGAAATAAATAGAAAAAAATACAAAAAACCGCTCATCACTGTTTGACTTTGAAAATATTTGAGGCATTGTTTGACATCAAAAACAAATGAAGACTGTCATTTGCCAAACATTTCTATTCACTTATAGGCTAAGGCAATATTAAAATATAATATATTTATGATTATGAATGAGAAAAATGTAATGTCTACATTATTATTGCCGAAAAGCAGCTGAGATGTGCCAAAAATTAAAATAATAGAAGACACATTATATATTTAGCACAGTATATACCCTTTATAATTAATTTGACAGATTATTATTTTTTAACTAATGCAGTCGTGTTTTGCCTTACTTTACTAAATCACAATACAAAAATAATTTACTTTCTCAAAAAATTATCTAGAAGTTTCATTGTGTCAAAAATTCATATGTTTGGCATTGGATACGAAATATTTACTCAAGTCAATGGAGCGTTTTGTGTCAAAATTTTTTTACTGTGCTCCAATTTGTATGAATTTTTGGAATTAGGTACATCTTGCTCTCAAGTTCAAAAGTGAAAATAATTTAGACTTCCCGGGGGAGGGGGGGGGTTTATGACATTTCTTCTCATCGATAAAAGAACTAATATAAGAGAAAAATGTTTAATAACGTTTTTCAAAAAAGTAAATACTTTTCAAGTTACTGGCTACTAAAAATTCGTTTCTTTTTGGCGTTGTTTATCGCTTTTTGCAAATATCTCCAAAAATAAACATTTTAACGAAAATCATGTAATGAATAAAATTATATCAATTAAAATCCCAATAAATTGGTGTTTTATAAAGTTTTCTAGGAACAATATTAGGCTAGATATAAAAATGGGGTTTTATAGTGCTCAAAATGAGCTTTAAAATGAGTACTTCTGCGTGTAAAATGAGTGAGCTATCATGCAAATAAAAGACGCATACAATGTTTTTTTTATTTAAATCAAATTTTCAAGTTTATGAGTGCCATTTCCACCAAAATTAAAAATCATCGTATTCCATCTAGAATTAACTTGGTTTAAGAGATCTTGATGGATTCTAGAAAATACCATAACATTCGTACAAACGATTTTCAAAAAACTCATGATTTCATAAAAAAAAATTAAAAAAAAACAACCAATTTCTCATTATTATATTTCTGAAAGAATAAAAGATACGTATAAAGGTATATAGATGAAAATTCAAGGTCTTTTTCTGACTAATTATTGCTTTTTATTATTTTTCTGTTATACAAATATTGATAGAGTTATGATTGTTTAAAAAGTGCGCGGCTGTCCAAACAGAGTGTCTTTCGAGCCCTTTAACCCTTCGCCGTTTCAAAATAAGAGAAGTTACGGTAAAATTTATGATAGAGAAAATTGTAGCTCATTTAATTACCTTTAAATTAGTATATTACAAGTTCTCATAAAATCAGAATTAAAAGAGTTATAATCCAATTAATGCGGAGGGTGCAAATTATTTTCACTTCTGAACTTAAGATTAAGATTAGCCTATTTCCAAAATATCAAGGAAATTGAAACAGTAAAGAAAAATTCGCAGGGCACACTTTTTTTCCTCTCCATTTACTGCAATAATTTTATTGATCGTAGGTTGAATAGAGCACATGTGAACAGGATTTGATAAATTAATTCACTTCAAATATAAACTTAAGTAATAATGTATATTGAATAGTGAGAAAAATGCAATTTAGATATTAAAATTACTAAAAGCCAGGGTACGAAATTATAAAAATTATAGGCAACATTATTGAAGCAATTATTTTGGGTAGAAAAATTCAATGTGATATTTACCTTTACCGCGAATGCTATATATCAATTCTTTCTGAATTTGTTACACCTTTTAAAAGACTTCAATTTTCAATGCGTATATCTTATGCTATAAATCACAAAGACAGACGATGAATTTTCTGTGTGATACATTTGGAAAATCAATGTTTTAGTCGTGAATAAACAAAAACTCATTCATTTATACATCCACATCTATAGGTATGACTAAAATATTATATAACCTTTGGCATTAAAATAAATTGAGCTATTGGAAATAAATTTGTTCTATAAATTGCAGTGTATAATTTTTTATATACAATTTTATTGAAGATATTTTAATATTTGTTAAAGGGATAATTAAAGTGTAACTGTGGGAACTGAGAATCATAATTTTATTTGAAGCAGTTCTACATTTAACATCACTAATATATTGGAGGTAAATAGTAATTCGAAAAACAATAATTATTATTTTTAACTGAACGGATAATATTAGTATATGATATTAAAAAAAACGTAGATGTGGGTACGGGACAAAGTCTGTCGGGTCATCTAGTATATATATATATATATATATATATATATATATATATTACTATATATAATACTATATCCCTTTCCTCTTTTAGAGTATAATCCGAGCCCACAACAATCTCGTACCTGGCCGAATTTTCGTATCGCAAGGTGAATTGTTAGAAGCCAACATTAACAGGAGCCCAGCAGCATATTTGAACAATCCCGAAGAGGAAAGGGCACAGTAAGTAATTATTTAATAATTAATTAATTTACCTATTCAATCATTTCATAGCCCTTTGCACTATTAATAGTTAGCAACTCGATGTCTTCTGTAACTTTGAAATTCTTTAATTTATTTATTTTTTAAACTACTGTACTGTTATATATAACAATTTACAAGAGACAATAATTTACAAGAGAATGAACCAACACATTTGCAATTCAAAAAATAAAAATCAGTTCAAGACAATGCTCTCGGAACATATCATTAATTTAAATTATATTTTCAATAGCAAAAACCCTATTATTTTACAAAAGGAAAAGAATGTTGACCTCAGAAAATTTGTTGAATCTGTGTTTATCTTTTTAAACCCCCTTTGCGTTAATAAACGATATTTTTTTTAGATTTTTATTAAAATGTAACAATTTTTTTATATATAATAAAATTATAACAAAATAAATATACCAACCAAACCAAATACAAATTAAACCAAAGCGTTGGGGCTAAAACAACATGGACGCTTTACAAATATGTTAATTTAAAAGCTCAGCGAATTATAATCATATAATTTTGTTCCAACAGCTACAAATTTTTATATGCAGATTTATTAACAGTTTTATGGACATTTTAACGGTATAAAGTAATATATAGCAATTGAGGTAACTTTTAATAGAATAAAGCTAAAAATAAAAAAAAATTCAAACATTGAATCCACTAATGACAAACAAATTTAAAAATTTACGTATAATTTTATTTTATAAGTTGTTAAGTGCTTTATATAAGTTTGTAAATAATTTTATCAGCTTTTTAAAAATAGATAATAATGTTAATATATTCAATAAAAATATAACAAAATAAATATAATTTCAAACCTAGGCGTTGGAGCTGAAACAATATGAACACCTTACAAAGATTTCAATTTCAAAATTCATGGAATTACTTCTACATAATTTTGTTCCAACAGATTCAAATTGTTATATACAGATTTGTAGACAATTTTATAAACTTTTTTTATCTACAAATGGCTAACTAAATTTTAAATTTCAAATATTTTCCTAAATTAATTTTGTTTGAAAAGTTCTCTAGTGCTATATATAAATAAATAGGTAAATTCATGAGCTTTCCAGCAATAGATAACAATAAAAATAAATTGAATAAAATTATAACAAAATACTTGCAAATTTAATGCAAAACTTTGAGCTAAAATAATATGGGCATTTCACATTTAAAAGTTCAGCGAATTATTTTCATATAATTTTGTTACAACATTTACAAATTGTTATATACAGATTTATAGATGATTTCACATACTTTTCAACGATATATGACAATATATAGTGATAGATGTGACTTTTATTAGAATAATGCTGAAAACCAAAACAAACCCTTTGCGTTAATAAACGAAATTCTGCTCTTCTAGTACATGACTCTTATCATAATAATATCAATTTTTTTTTAAAAATAACTTTCCATTTTCTTTGCGGATTTATGAGTATACCGAGTTGCTTTAGATCATCATGATGTTAGAAAATATTGTGAATTATTTAATTTTGTACAAATTTGCCAAACATACTATTTATAATAGACAAATATTTTAAAAGTTATAAATCATTTAATAAAAAAAAATACTAATATAGAAAACAGTAACAAAGGTGAAATGTAAAGTTTATTAAATTCATTGAAGTGTATTGGGAGCTTTTAATATTTTTTGACATATGTATATATATATATATATATATATATATATATATATATATATTATATATAAATTTTTCTCTAATTATTTTCATCCCCATCTGCAAAACGAGAGATATTCGTTTTTACGGTTTATAAACATATTTTTTTTATTGCTGGACATATTTTATGCATAATTTTATTTTTATTGCTCGAGGGTTGTCATAATTTTAAGGGATGTAAAAAACATAAAACAAGGGAACAGATTTCACTCTCTCATTTATATGCTAATTTAATCGCCAAAAAAATAAAATATTTGCGAAAATAATAAACGAAAACTCTTCTTCTTCCGGGACCATTATTATATAATGCAATTGTTTGGAAAAGGTGGTTGAGTTATATATTTGTTGTTTTTAAATGCGATTTTAAAGTATACCGAGTTGTTGTAGGGTGTTATGATGTTAGACAGTATTATAGACAATTTTATTTTAAACAAATTTGCAAAATACATGATTTTGATCAAACAGCTCATTCAAAAGTTACAAGAAATATGATAGATAAATACGCTAAATTCGTACGGGAAATTATAAATACACTCATCACAATATTATACGTTTGAAAGCAATTTTAAAGTATACCGAGTTGCTGAAGGGTTACATAATATTAGACAATATAAACAATTAAATTTTAAACAAATTTGCGAAAAACATTATTTTGATCAAACAGCTCATTCAAAAGTTACAAGAGATATGAATACACTAAATAGGTACTATAAATTATAAATACACTCATCACAATATTATGCGTTTGAAAGCAATTTTTAAGTATACCGAGTTGTTGTAGAGTATTATGATGTTAGACAGTTTTGAACAAATTTGCAGAATATTTTGAGTTTATTAAGTCTACTGTTTAAAAGTTACAAGAGATATAATAAATGAATGCAGGTTGAACTCTCTCAAATACATTACCTGATTTGTTAGTTGCTTTTGTATTTAAACTATAAATGTAAACTAACAAGTATATTTGGAAAATTTGTTTAGAATAGAATACTTTACAATATTGCCTCATAATATAAAACTCTACAGCAACTCTGTGTACTTAAAAAACTCAACCAAAAATTAAAAATATTCTAGACAATTACAATATGATGTTTGGCAAAGGTGCAGTGTAAATAAATTTATATCTATTAAAATATCCGTTTGAAATTATTACTATGTTAAGGAAAAATATACAAAATTCAATTATCTATAATATTGTCTAACATCATAATGCCATACATCAACTCGGTATACATTAAAATAATACTTTACAGTACCCATTTTTGCTTATAAAAAATTTGCTCTAAAAATTTATGTTAGGTATATCTCTTGTAACTTTTGAACGGTCTATCCGATTTAAATAAACTATATGACAAATTTGTACGAAATTCAATTTTCTATAATATTGTCTAACATTATACAACCCTACAGCAACTCGGTATTCCATAAACTCGCAATTGAAAATGAAAATGAATATTCACATCGCTCATTGTGTCTTTGCATCATTGTGTATTGACAGGTGCATCGAAAGATCTTTTGTATATATATATATATATATATATATATATTATGATGTCTCTATTACATTTTCCATCAGAATTTCTGTCACTGTTAAAGATAATAATCAGAATCCTATCAGAATCGTTTGGATGAACTGACATGAATTCAAAACCTCTCATCTGTTCTAAGAGATTAATGTAATCCCATCTAGTAACAATATCCCATATCATATCTATTATATATATATATATATATATATATATATATATATATATATATATATATATATATATATATATATATATATAATTTCCATTACATATATATTACCATGAATAATACAAAGCCTCATCTATGGATTTGGGTTAATACAATCCTTGATAATTATTTTCTATTGCGATTTATGAGTATACCGAGTTGCTGTAGGGTCTTTTTATGTTAGACAATATTGTAGATTATTTAAATTTGAACAAATTTATCAAATATATTAGTTATTTTAAATAAATAGTTTAGAAGTTATGAATTATTGAAAAAAAATGTATACATGCTGAATGAACGTTATGTAAAAAAGCAAAATCGATTTTTCATTCTTTAGCAACAAATAGAAAATTCGGGACATTTTTTGGTTTTTGTCAAATAACTCACAAATTTCATATGGAACCACCTCTTTTAAGTTAGATAGGGTGAAACTAGATAAAATTTACAACATTTTCTAGAGAACACTTTTGTACACTTCGATATAAAAGTTTTGAATAAAACAACATTGAAATCGATCTTTTGACAAGTGCAATAGAAAATTCGGGTCATTTTTCTACATTTCTTCAAATATCTAGATTTTTTTATCGGAAATAACATTTTTTATTAGTAGAGCAAAAATTAGATAAAATTTACTATAAATAAAATGAGCTTGAAATGGAGTTAAGTTGTGCACAATTTTGCTATAGAACATTAGGAACATTTTTTTGTTTTATCAAATTATGCAAAAACTTTGTACAAGGCACTTTTTTCTAGTTTACCAAAAAGTACATAAAATGTAGTACAAATCCATAAAAACAATCTTATATACTCCCATATAAAAGTTTTGAACAAAACGAAGCTGAACTCGATTTTTTTATTGTTTGAATGTTTGCTGTAGAAAATTAAGGACCTTTCTTTACATTTCTTTAATAAACCTAAAAACTTTTCACTAGGCTCTCTATTTTCATTAGCTTACCAGAAACTAATCTTTGAATATTTGAATATATGAAACTGCCAACAATTTGTTAAAAAAATCCGTGAATAAATATCTTTGAATATTTGACTATATAAAATGACCAACACTTTGTTGAAAAACGTTTTTGTCAAATTACTCACAAAGTTTATAAGAAAACACTCTTTTCCAATTAGATAGGGTAAAAATAGATGAAATTTACTACAAATCTATATCAACAGTTATATACACTCCTATAGAAATATTTTGAAAAAAACGACTTTGAATTCGATATTTTATTCATTCTTTAGCAATAAATATAGAAAATTCGGGACATTTTCTGGATTTTGTCAAATAACTTACAAATATTATATCAAAGCCTAGTCTTCTAAAAATCTAATAAAAAGATTTAGTTTTACAAAAACATCTTTTTTATTGAAATTTAATATTTTTTCTAAGAATACGATTTCTAACTGAAAAGGGTGGTTCTATATGAAATTTTTGAGTTATTTGACAAAAATCAAAAAACAGTCCCGAGATTTCTATTTATTGCTTAAGAATGAAATATCGAATTCAAAGTTGTTTTATTCAAAACTTTTATATCGGAATGTATAAAAGTGTTCTCTAGGAAATGTTGTAAATTTTATCTAGTTTCACCCTGTCTGACTGAAAAAGGGTGGTTCCATATAAAATTTTTGAGTTATTTGACAAAAATTTAAAAAAAAGTCCAGAATTTTCTATATTCATTGCTAAGAATGAAATATTTTATATCGGAATGTATAAAAGTGTTCCCTAGGAAATGTTGTAAATTTCATCTAATTTCACACTATCTAACTGAAAAGGGGTGGTTCGATATGAAATTTTTGAGTTATTTGACAAAAACCAAAAAAAAAGTCCCGAATTTTCTATTTATTGCTAAAGAATGAAATATCGAATTCAAATTGTTGTTAAAAATCTCAAAACTGTGAGCAAATCGTTTTTTTACTAAAACTCCTTACGTAACAACCCGATATTTTCCATAAACTCAAACCTAACCGAATATGTCATCTATCTATGTTATCTTTATATCTATTTATCCATTTATCTTTTTTTTCTGGATAAAACGACTTTGAATTCGATAATTCATTCTTTAGCAATAAATAGAAAATATTAAGGCAGCATTATAATTTTTTATTTTTCTTATTTTTTTTTCATTTTATTTATTTAATTCTCAATTGTGCTTCATACTTTGTACAATTTAGTTAGGCTATTGAAATCACAAATAAAATTTGTATATAATATTTATATTTAAATAGTTCTTAGAAAGCTCTCACTGTTTGATGCATTTGGAAACTGCATTAAAGATATTAGAGCAGCACTTAATATTTTTAACTTCCCGAAGGAGAAGTTTATGTTTTCACCAAAAAATCCGATTCGCTCATTTTATGTTTTCTCGACGTTTCAAGCCATTCTGAATCGAATGAGATCAAATTTAGAAAAAGTATGTGTGTGTGTGTGTGTGTGTATGTGTGTGTGTGCGTGTATGTGAACAGATTTTTTGCCGTAAATCGACGTTTTCTCGAAAACGGCTAGACCGATTTCCAAAATTCAAAAACCACTCGATGTATCTCGATGAGGACTATTGTTTCTCAATTTTGTGCGACGATCGGCCAAGCCGTTTCTTTGTAAATTGCAGAAAAGTGAAAAATTTTTCGTCCACGTTTTAGCCCGCAATTCTGAATCGATTTTGAAAATTCAAAAACCATTCGAAAGATATTGGTTGGGAATCGTGCTGATTAGTTTTTGGTAGAGATCGCCCGGGCCGTTTTCTTGTAATAAAGTTTTTAAAAAAAAAAATTCGACGATTTTTATGATTATTTTTTTGACGAAAGATACCATAGTTTTCTAGGTCATACTAAAATATTACGGCCCTACGACAACTGGTTCTGCTTTAAAAATTCGTCAAAGTTTGCAAAAATCAGTATGGTCTTTTTGGCATTTGTCAAAATTAGACTTTTGATCGACGTTTTTTCAAAAACGCCTGAACCGATTTTGGAAATTTAAAAGCCATATGATGTATTTCGGTGAGGACTATCGTTTGTCAGTTTTGTGCAACGATCTGCCAAGCCGTTTCTTCGTAATTTGAGAAAAAGTGTTGAACTTTTCGTCCACATTTAAGCTCATCCTACCGAACCGATTTTAAAAAATCAAAAACTGTTCGAAAGATATCATTTGGGAATGATGCTGATTAATTTTAGGTGAAAATCTACCGAGCCGTTTTCTTGTAATTAACTGTTGAAAAAAAATTTAAGCCGATTTTCATGGAACTTTTTTTGGCGATATACATCATGGTCTTATAGAACTTACTGTAATATTACGGCCTTACAACAAGTAGTTTAATTTTAAGAATTCGTCAAACTTTGCTAAAATTATTATCGTTTTTTTTAAAGTAGGATTGATGAAGTATATTATTTACACATTTTTTTGATCAAGTCGATTATTTACACATATCGGGAAGTTCATATAATTTGCCTCAAGGCTAAATACCAAACCAACTAGTTTTTTTAATTCTCAACTGATTTCATACTTTGTATATATCTCAGCCTAAAATAGATATCTTTAATAAATTTGAAAAATTATTCTTAAATATCTTTCAAGTTTCAATTATGAATAAAGTCTAATTAAGTTAACTAAACAGGGACATTTTTTTGGTTTTTGTCAAATAACTCAAAAATTTCATATGGAACCACCCTTTTTAAGTTGGATAGGGTGAAACTAGATAAAATTTACAACATTTCCTAGGAAACACTTTTATGGACTCCGATATAAAAGTGTTGAATAAAACGACTTTGAATTCGATATTTCATTCTTTAGCAATAAATAGAAAATTCGGGACATTTTTTTGATTTTTATTCATCTATCTATGTTATCTTTATATCTATCTATCTCAATTATTTTTTTTATCTAGATATCTGCACAATGTAGACAAAACCATGACCCAGATGCGTTTTGAAGACACTTCTGGACGTGGTTTAGGTGTTATCAGCTGGTTTGCAGTACATCCTACCAGTATGAATAATACCAATACCCTGGTCAGTTCCGATAATATGGGATATGCCAGTATCATCCTGGAGACCAAGATGAATCCTGGTGCTTTACCTGGACAGGTATAAAAGACATAGTAGAAAAAAAAACGAAATCCATCGGGAAAAAGAAACACGTCCTTGTTATTATCCTGACCATGATCCTTGTAGAAAATCAAATCCAGAAGTTGTTTCCTGTCCAGTCCAAAAATGCCTTAAGTTTTGACCTCAATCTTGTGAAAAATGTTATGTTGCCAATTTAGGATTTTTTGGAATTTTTGAAGTCATCTTCTGTCTATCGTGGAACTTTATAGAAAGCACTTTGGGTTAATGAAATTTTTAGTGCAAATATTGCAAAAAGTTTATTTATATATTCTTAAATTTTTAGCAAAATTTTTACATCGACTTTTATTATATTTCCTAGTTGTACCCACTAAAAATCGTTTCAGGTCTGTTTTTCGTGTAACGCAGTAACAGAGTCGCATGCACAATTTTTACATGGAATATGATATTAAATTTTTATTATGTATATATATATTAGGGTGGTCCCAGTGGTGTTGTGCTAATATTTTTTTTGTCGGAACGCTAAAATTTAAAATCCGGTTCATAAACCGGTTCAAAAAATTTGATATATTTCGATAAGAACTCACAAATCTAATATATTGACTTTTTATATAATTAACTCTATTATACACAGCTAGTCTATACATTAAATTGTACAAGTATGAGGGAATCATTGAGTACATAATTTATATTCTTCAATGACATTAATCATATTTATTCTGGTATTATTTGTATTCATTAATACCTACAGGTATTTATTATGTTATAAAAGTACTCAAGATTTATTACAATACTTTATAAGACTTAACCTAATAATATGACAGATAACCTATTACCTATCATACTATATTATATTATTGTATATCATCGATAGATATCTATTATCTATCATACCGTGAGATACCTATACCGTCATTAACTTATTATATACCTACAGACCTATTACTTCTTATAAATACTACTGTCTAATTTATATATTCACCTATATTATATAGGTTTACCTCACGCCCTATGTATTATCTCTACCTATTATATATATTATCTATTGCCTATACCGGGAATTGAACCCGGGACCTCCGCGTGGAAGTCGCGCACCTTAACCACTACCCTATCGGGTACCCCCACTAATAATATAATATGGGACGCACTGTTGTTTCCGCGGTTCATTTTCTAATTAATTAGGTAATTAATACTGAGGTGGCGCGACGACACGCGAAAAAAGACGGTTGATTGTAGCGTTACGGTGGTGTAGTGGATAAGGTCGTCGCGTGCCACGCGGCGGACCCGGGTTCGATTCTCGGTAGGGTTAATGTAGCGTGTAAGGGAAATTAATAGGTAATAGGATATATAGTAGATATAGGTTAGGTGTATTCGGTGTACAATGTAGGGATTTGAGAGTATATAATGAAATATAGCGTATGGTACAGATGTAAGGCGTGTAGTATAGAATGCAACGTATAGGCACACGTGTAAGGCTATAAAAATACATGAATAGGAACCTATGATGTAGATGTTAGCGTATAAGAAATGCGAATGAATGTAAGATTTAATTTATAAATATTATTTTTTCTATAAGAAGTTCATACACCTCAATTTGTTACTAAATTAAAAACTACTTTGATAAAACCAGTGGTTCTGTGCTAATATTTTTTGCCGGAACGCTAAAATTTAAAAACCGGTTCTAAAGCCGGTTTTCATGTTTTTCCAGTTCCGTTCGAAAAGGAAAGAAACAAAAAATTATTACAAAACCCATTTTGTGCACATATATGTATGTTTATTACAATAATAACATTTAATAAAAATTAGTTGAATAATAACGTATAAAATTTACTTATTAAATCATTTTCTGTATGTAGCGATGTTTTTATATTTTTTCTTGCCGGAACGCGTTCCGGCTCAAAAATGATTTGCCGGAACGACGTTCCGGCGCGTTCCGGCGCGTTCCGGCTCGACAACACCACTGGGTGGTTCTTAAAAAGGTCATTTTCGAATTTCCTTGCTCCCATGGGCTCAAATGGTTCCAAATAGATAAAAAACAATTCTCTGAAAGTTTTAGCTCTTAATATTAACGTTTAGATAGAGCGCAATTCAATCAAAGTTTTGTATGGAAATAGCATGGAAAAATTTTCAAAAATTTTAAAAATATTTTTTAGATGTAATTTAGCGAACAAATGAGTGAATAAAACTCATTCATTTGTCACTAAGTTATACCTAAAACATTTTTTTTAACTTCCCGTAGGGTAAGTTATAGTAATCGTCCAAAAATCGGAATTGAAAATTTTTACATTTCTCGACGTTTTGAAGGTTTCTGAACATTTTGGCATACTTCAGAAAAAATGGATGTGTGTGTGTGTGTGTGTGTGTGTGTTTTGTATGTCCGCGTTTTTTCGTCCACGTTTTCGGGCGCACGGATCAACCGATTTGAATGGTTCAAAAAACATTCGATTCCTATTGATAGAGAAAAGAGCTGATTAGTTTTTGGCAAAGGCATGTCCAGCCGTTTTGGAGATACGGAGCAAAGAGTGCAGAAAATAGAAATCGACTTTTTGAGAGAACGGGGTATCCGATTTGAATGACCTAAAAAACATTCAATTAGTAATGATTGGGAGAAGCGTCTATTAGTTTTTGGCAAAGGCAGGCCCAGCCATTTGGAAGATACGGAGCTAAATATGTAAAAAATGGCAGTTTTTGAGAGAACTAAGCGTCCGATTTAAATGATTCAAAGAACTTTCTGCTTATCTTAACAAAATAATAGATTTTGGAAAAAAAATTCTTATAATTTTTTTTTTTTTTTTTTAGTTTTTCTTGTATATCGAAAATAATTCAGATTTTATTTTTAATTCTGACTATAGTTCTAATATACTTTACAAATAATTTCAACTCTGCAATTCAGTTTATATAATTCTTATAAATATTAGACAATGTTACAGGATTTATAATAATCTATTTGAAAACATTTAGTATTCCTCGAACATTTTGTTACGGTACGGGAAGTTCCAGCAATTTGCCTTAAGGCACGATGCCATACACCACTAGTTAACAATTAAAATTATTTGATCTACTATTCTGTAACGAAAGATTTGCTAGCAAAAAAGAAACTGGGTTGGATTCACGTTTTCTAAATAACTTCTCTATCTCTTTTCCTTTTCTGTGTTTCTTCTAAAAGGGTTAAAATGTTTGTCAATAAGACAGTCGCCGGGTATCAGGAGAGCAGAAGCATTTCTTCTTTGGGAACGATTTTGCTCAGGAAATATATAAAAGAGATTTGTTTGAAAGGAACATGTTGTGAGTTGAGAGGATCATAAAAGTATTATCATATATTATCAGTGAATTATTCTGTAAAAATTAGAATAAGATTTTGAGTTAACATCTGTTTTTTTTTAATCATATTTCATTTAATATAGTATCACACAATTTCACAAAGTTCTCCAGTACATAAGCAGTCTAAACGCACTTGGGTAAACATTTGTACCAGAGTGGCGCTTAGACTGTGATTAGGCTAGGTGATTTTTTGAATTTTTAATCCAAAATGACAAAAATATTTTATGGAAAATAAAAATAGATGTAATAATTTTTTATCCTCAAAAGCAATTGTTAGCCATTATTGCACATTTAGCTCTGTATCTTCGAAATTGCGGGACCTGTCTTTGCCAAAAACTAATCGCCTCTTCACCCAATCATTACAAATTGAATGTTAATTGTTGTCAAACATTTTCACCCTTCAATTTAATTCCTCATATCAATTTCAATTCTTTAACTGTTTTTTGTGTTTTTAAATATAATTTTATTTAAATTTTCTATTTTCAGGGTCAATTCGTGGCAGCTTTCGCTTCAAGTAATTTAGGGGATGTATCCCCTAATATTAAGGGTCCCAAATGCTCAAAATCAGGTGAAGAATGTGACATCCTGACCAGCACCTGTCCAAAAGGTGCAGGAGACTGCATTGCCAGGTAAAAATAAATTATAAAATATTTTTGTAATTTTGGATTAAAAATTCAAAAAATCACCCAGGCTAAGCACAGTCTAAGCGCCACTCTGGTACAAATGTTTACCCAAGTGCGTTTAGACTGTTTATGTACTGGAGCACTTTTTCAATTTTGTGTAAATTTGGCAACTATTTTTTTTTTTGAAAATGAACTCGAAATGAAATGACAATTGTTAATGTTCAGGAGATAAATTGATTTATGATTTACATTTGATTTGCTCAGATATAACAAGATACAAAAATAATGAAAGTTACATTATTTGTAATAATATATTTGAAATCGTTCAAAATTTCTCGAATATTTACGGTACGGGAAGTTCCAGCAATTTGCCGTAAGGTACGATGCCATACACCACTAGTTTTGTACTAAATTGCAAACAAAATTGTTCTAGAAATAAACAAACTATATTTTTATATTAATTTGTAATACAAAAAAATTTCAATAAATTATTATTAAATGAGTGGTTATATAACCTGTTATTTAATTTTTATTAGTTTAGTAAATAATTATGATATAAGTGACTTAGAAATTTTATTTGAACATATTATAATATATTATAATTTAATTTATTAGTTTTTTTTTTAAGTTTACTATGGAATTATTTTGATTCAATTATCAAAGTTGAATTATTTTGGTTAAAATTAAAGTATTAAAATAGTCAAAAAATGCATCAAATGTCTGTCAAAAAAATGTTAGATTATATTATATTTATATAATAAAATATTATTATATTTAACTTATATATACTTTTATAATATATTTAACTAATATTAATTTTATTTTTGCAGAGGTCCTGGAGAAAACGGAGACATGTTCCAAAGTACCAAAATTATTGCAGAAAGATTAGCAGGACGTGCTGAGGTAAATATATTAAATTTTAAAAATATTAATTTAAATATAATAATTTTGGAAAAATTACCAAACATATGTAATACTTTCCTTTAAATTTAAAAAATATTTCCATACAATTTGGATAAACAGTTATTATAAAAAATTATTAACTTTATACAAGTCGAGTTGAAAATTATTGAAAAA